TTTTTTCATAGTTCCTGAAGTCATTGATGGAAAAACTTTCACAGCCACAGTCGTGGATTTAAATCCCTGGGTTGAATATGAATTCCGCGTAGTTGCCAGCAACAAAATTGGTGGTGGAGAGCCTAGTTTACCCTCAGAAAAAGTAAGAACTGAAGAGGCAGGTTAGTGGGTTTTACTGTTTGTTTTTAATCAAAGTGTCTTAACTAAACTGCAGTGCTTAGGCCCGTGGATCCTTTTCCATACACATTTTGAGACAGGCATATACCTAATTAGTCGGTGATTGTGATTGTGATTGTTCCATGCAGCCAGATGGGTTGTGTCCCCGCACCGCTCTCAGCAACAAAACATCCAGATACACGCTACGGCATACTGACTTCTCCGTGTGCTCAGTCGGCTACATAGGGTCTAAAGCTTTCACTGGATGCTGAGGGGATCTCTTGTTTATTAAAGGACTGTAAAAGTGCAAGTCTCAACATGGACTGCTTCACATCTGAACTCTGTTCAACCAGAAAAAAACATCATCTGTCCATTTGTACTAGACAGTAACAAGTTGTTTTCATTGTGCAGGATGGGAGAGCTGCCTTAACACAGTCTGCTCCTCGCACATTAATGTTCTGGCTGTTAGCACCATTGAACACTCTTAAGTGATGGGTAACAAAGCATACACTCTGGTGCTTACATGCTAAGATAAGGAAAACCAATTTCAGTCACCACGGGATGGAATTACTAGAGAAGGTCACTAGATAGTGGCATTTACCCTTCAGGACTGAAGTATTAAAGGAGTCTTTAAGAAAAAAAAAAAATAATGCCTCGAACACGTTCCGTTAATTTATAAAGAACACTAGGGGTCTTGAATACAAGTGAAGGGGGCAATTTTCCTTGCAGTCATCGCAATAGGTGTTTATGCAGTATATACAGGACTGGAGTACAAAGAATGCATGTGTGATTATCAAGTAGTAGCAGTTTTGTGCTCAGCGCATGGGGGAAATTATTTTAAGAATTGTTTGTTCTTATGAAAATCGACTGTTTTCATGCTGACAAACTAACTTGCTTTCCTTGGGATTATGCATCACTTGTATATATGTTTTCACTGGGCTTTTACGACGTCAGGCTGGTTTGGATACTTGGTTGCCAGTATTGTTTTTTGGCTTTTCAAACTGGGTTTACCGGTCACGTTCTAGAGGAAGATGCATTATGAATACCAATAAGGTGGTAATTATGCTGAATTAAGAGCAACTGATCAGTATAGCTTAGCCATGAGGAGAGCTGGAATGTGTCACAAATTTGGGGTCGCTCAGAATTTAGACCACAGATGTACGCTGGTACATTTAAACCATAGATGTACTCCTGTAGAGGATCTGCCAAACACAGCAGGCATCTAGCAGCATAAACGCAAGAGAGGGTTGGAAGTTTCCAGGACTGGGTTAAAATTGCAAGAACAACCCTGAGCTCAACCCTATGATCGCTGCAGAGCAAGGGTTAATGTCCCATAATGCCATTTGGTTAGTACAGGGCTGTCCAACTTCTGGGCACACATGCGGCGCAGGCCACAGACCCAAGTCGGGAATGCATGCTGCAGGGGTGTCCTTCTGCCCCACCCCCCCCAAGTCATGCACACAGCCCAGCTCCCCCCTACCACGCATGCAGGCCAGCTCTCCTCCCTGCCACATGTACAGCCCTCCTTCCCAACCACGTTGCAGATGAGCAGCTCACTCTGAAGCCTGGTTGGCATGATTCCTCTCCACCACCACAGGCACAGGACCCTTGCCCCTCTCCCCACTGCGCCCATCATGCAGGAAGCCCACCTGCAACATGCAGCATGGGCAGCCTGGATCCCCTTTTTTGGGGGCCCCTACCACTCACGCAGCACAGGCAGCCTAGCCCCTTCCTGTTGTGCCACCCCACACCCCAGAGCAGGGGCAAGAACAAAAAGCCATAGGTGGGAGTGGGAGTCTGGAGACCCCGGCCCCATTGCCAGGGGAGAGACAAGCAGGAGCCACAGGCCACATGTTAACCACTCACAGGCTGCACGAGGCCTACAGGTGGAACAGCTCTAGGTTAGTATCTATTCATAAGCTTGTCTGTACTGTGTAGATAGCTATATTTTTCTTCTCCACAGTTCCTGAAACACCCCCATCGGAAGTGAGTGGGGGAGGAGGCAGCAGGTCTGAACTGGTCATAACGTGGGATGTAAGTTGTCTAGCTAGAGCCTTTCTTCCCAAAGCCATTGGTTTCATTCAAGTTCCTTGTAAAAGATTAATGTCTCTGGCTGCTGTGACATTTCATCGAGGCCGGATATGTGCTTGTTAACATTCTGTAACGCGAGCTATGCAAATTTGCTTTCCATCTTTACTCTCATTTGTTACTGTGCTAGAATATAATCAGCTGAAAATGTAGCTAATATGGCCAAGGCTGCTCCTGGCTTGGCATAAAAGTAAAATAATTAAAAAAAAGAATAAAAAGAAAGACAGAACAATATTGTTCAAAAGGTCAAGGAAAGGAACTGAGCTTTAATTGTGTCAGCTTCCAGTGCAATTTTGCCCCTTCTTGATTTCAGTTAACTGTGGACTTAACATGCTAACAGTTAGGCATACAAAGGAAAATTGGGTAGTCCTTTATATTAAGGAGTCTGTTTTATAAAAGGTTAAATATCATAAGTGCGTTATATTCATAGGTACTATGTGGTTAGCATTACAAGCACATCAGTGGATGGTATTACAGTTGGAAGCAATACCAGCAAGCAGCTTCATGCTCTACTGGATTCTATAATTGTTAACTAAGCATTTATTAAAATATCAGTTCATCATTTATAAACCATAGTCCATGCTTTTTTCATAGCCCATTCCTGAAGAACTGCAGAATGGTGAAGGATTTGGCTATGTCGTTGCTTTCCGACCTGTTGGCACTACGACGTGGATACAAACTGTAGTCACATCTCCAGATACACCAAGATACGTCTTTAGAAACGAAAGCATCCTGCCATTTTCACCATATGAAGTCAAAGTTGGTGTATACAATAATAAAGGAGAAGGGCCATTTAGTCCAGTAACCACAGTGTTTTCTGCTGAAGAGGGTTTGTGATTGAATTATCTCTCAAGCAGTTTTCTTAACGTGCAATTCCTATGAGAATAGTTCAACAGCTGAATGATTATTGCCTTAGAAGATATCAATGAGGCCATTTTTAATTAGGAAACTGACATTTTTATTTCCCGGTTCACCAGTGTGTCTAATCTCCTATGTTTTTATTTCCAAACACAGAGCCTACTATAGCACCTTCCAGTGTCTCTGCAATTAGCCTGTCATCTTCAGTCATTGAAGTTTCCTGGAATGCCATTCCTTGGAAAATGAGCAGTGGAAGGTTACTGGGTTACGAGGTAAATGAATCTGAATATGCTCCCTTCATTCAGATAGCATGGTCATAATTACTGCATTCTCTCTCCTAATGATGTATTTACAGATGAGCAATCATGAAGTCTAGAGTGGCTGTTTCAGCTAATCGCATAGTCATTCTGTGAGGTTTTGTTATCACATAGACCTTTTGAGGTGAAGATACCCGAGAGACATTTTAGTCAAGGCCGGTCTATGTGGGTGCCTGTACACAAGTGCAGAGGCTGCTCTGATGCACTTTAATTGCAGCATGTCGGAGCAGACTTAATTAATCCCCTCACACCCTCACCGCCGACAGCGCTGCGGCTGCCTGCAGCAGCTCCCCACTTGCCTCTGCCACGCTCCCACCGCCACCTGCAGGAGCTCGCCGTGCCCCCCTAGCCTCTGGGGGTACGCAGCGTTCATGAGCAGGGGGGGTGAGGCCAGCACCCCCCTGCTCTGTCCCTTCCATCCCCATCAGGCTGATGCTCTGCTGCCTCCAGGGAGCAGGGCCGGGGTGGGGGGCAAGGTCCGGTGGCCCTGGCCCTGCTCCCTGGAGATGGCAGAGTGCAACAGAGTGGGTGGGTGAGGCCAGTGCTGCTTCCCCCCCGGCCCTGCTCCTTGGAGGTGACGGTGCCACAGTGCTGGTGGAGGGGGATGGAGGAGATGGCGGGGCAAGTTTCCCCCTCTCCCACTCCTGGGAGGCGGCGGGGTTAGGGTTACCAAGCCCCCCCTCCCACGCCCCCCATTCTTGACAGGCAATTCACTAGTATAGGAATGAAATACTCTGATCTTTGAGCAGAACTCAAGCATTGCCTTGTTTGCTGGCAGTTAACTAAATCTGCATTACTAAGTCTCATTACTGTAAGTTCACTAAGTCTGCATTCTGAATGAGGATTTCTGACAGACATAGACCCATAGAAAATTAGGGTTGGAAGAAACCTCAAGAAATCATCTAGTTCAACCTCCTGCTCAAAGCAGGACCATCCCCAGCTCTCATCCTAGCCAAGGTTTTGTCTACCCAGGCCCTAAAAGCAGTCCAGGAGCAGTCCTTGCTGCATAACCAACCTGCCTTGGTACCTGTGGGACCTCCTGCTGTTCGTAGATTGTTTGCCTAGAGAAAGTGTTTCCTGCTTTCCATACAATACTTCAAGCCCTGAAAATAAGGATGTTACATCTTTGCACAGCTGATTGTATTCTTTCCACTTTACAGATAAATATGAAATTGCAGATGCATGACATCCTCATTCAGAGTGCTAGCTGAGTACAGAACAAATTGGCCTCAACACTGGATGGTTATATGCGTCCCCTGTAATACTTCAGAAGTATCTGAAAGATCTGCATTTCTTAGCAGAGTGCCCTTTCATTTTTCTTTTTTTTTTTCCAATTACCAAACATATTAGTCTCTCTGCACCTGAAATAGCTCCTCCAGTTAATTCAGGAACTGTATTTCTATTCTTCTATAGAACATAGGTACAAGATATTGTCACCTCAATAAGTGCTTGGGAACTTGGCCAACTAATGAGCACTGTGGCCGGTCCGCATTCATGCTGATTAAGCATTTGATGCCACACTTTGTTGTGCTTGTGTTTCAGTATTATATCGGCTTATATATTCAAGGTGTGGAGATCCTGTAGGTTTGGTTGTGACCCTGTTTCATTACTAATGCAATGATTCAGAGACCCAAATCGGACAGAAAGCCAACTAGCCTGACTTGTGGCCTCTGCACAAGAAAGAGGGTGATGAGCATGTAGCATCCCAGCTGGCCATGCCTCTGTCATCAAAGTGACTAATAAGAGCTTGGAACAGCCAGGTGTCAATAAGTCTAGCTTTTCAAGATACCAAGGACTTGCCTGGAGGTCATTTGTTCATGCCAAACTTATATATATATACACATAACTTATATATGTTTGGCACTTATATTCCACTCTTCTAGCATATATATATATGCCAGAAGAGTTCTCTCCCACCCCTCTCTCCCCCAGGTTGGGCCAGCTGGAGCAAAGTATCTCTGCCTTTATTTCAAATGGTCAAAAATATTATTAAAAAGTTACTTTTTGAGAGAGGTTTTCAGTGGTTTTGAAAAATCAAAAGTCTCAAACACTCTAGCTGGTATTATCAAACTGCAGAGATGGTATCCAATTTCCAGGTAGATACAGAAGAACATTTTTACTTCTCGCTATTTTTCCTGACTCACCTTGATGTCTCTCTTTCTAAATGTCTCCGATAACACAGAATAACGAGCACATGTTGTGTTTTGTTCCCTGTGAGGAAAGTCATGGCTCTGCCTATACTGATATGTTGCAAGAGGCAACTTTTACTTCTAAAGGGACTATGTAAGATAGATACAGTTTTCTAATCATTCTCAGTTGTTTTGTACATAAGTTAATGTTTTTCCTCGCACAGTCATCTTTGTAATCCAAATAATATTTAATATTTCAGCTTCCTTTTTATAGTTATAGTAAGAGAAGTGCTAATATGACAGACAAAGGCTAATAAGCAATAGAGATATTGTGAACATTTCTGAAACTTTAAGGCAATGTTTCCACTTTGAAAAGAGTAAAATGGACTTAAAGGAACCAACATACTACTCTGGATGAACATTTCATTGTAAGCAAGTTTTAACTAGTTATACTTTGTGTTCACTAGGTCAGGTACTGGAATAATGGTGGAAAAGAAGAATCTTCAAATAGAGTAAAAGCTGCTGGAAATGAAACATCAATAAGGATTACAGGCTTAAAGAGTAACTTGCCATACTATACAGCTGTCCGGGCATATAACACTGCTGGAGCAGGTCCCTTCAGTGCCACAGTAAATGCTACCACAAAAAAGACGCGTAGGTATTAATGGTATAAAGACGGGAGCGTAATAATGGTTCCTCAGCACTTTTGGGCAAAATGACATTGATGGTAATAGGCTTCGTAACACCTGAAAATGATCCAAACTTTTTTATATGAAAGATTCAAGTTCAAGCCATCTACTTTTCTGTCAGAAGGGTCACATCTGTGTAAATTCAGATGTGGCAGTGGACCTGAACCACCTGCCTTGATTACTGATTTCTGAGCTCTCCAGTTGCATGCATCTTAGTGACGAGAAAAATTAAAAAGGGTCAGATTTCAATTTATCATATGCAAAGGAAAGCTCCTGCTATTTGAGGAAAAATGACTCATTGCATGTTTTAGGGCTTTATAACATATTTATAAGTCTTTGAGGGCTTCATTTTTGAGGTGATGTGTTGCCTCGTCTCCAATTTTTTTTCAACTCCATTGCTCATTTTGGCTGTATCCTCTTGCCAAATTATTCACAAAATTGCCACAGATTGATCACTCTTGAGGACATGCAAATACTCAGAAGCAGTGATAATTTTTGCAGGAACAGAAATAGTTTGAGCATGTTCTTACATTGAAGCACAATTCAAAATCAGTGCCACAGATGTTGAAAAATAACTAACAGATGTACAGCTGAACCTATATAAAAGGTCAGATCCACACTCTGGCCTGATTCTGATATCATACTTCTGTAGTTTGTAGATGAGTGTCTTCAAGCCAGTTCCATTATATGAGGCAGTTTATCAGAACTGGATGGCAGGGGGTAGGGCTGAGTTCTAGTTTGGGCTTCTACTCTTACTGATACCCAAACTTTTCCCAGTGCTGCTTATCCAATAAATACTAAATGCAAATCGAAGTGTGCCAACTTTACAGGGTTTACAGTCCAAGCCCATAAGGAGAGACGAAGGGACCTGGACCTCTTCAGCCTCCGCAAGAGAGGGCTGAGAGGTGATCTTGTGGTCACCTACACGTTCCTTAGGGGGGCGCAGCAAGGGATCGGAGATGCTCTGTTCACCAGGGCGCCTCTTGGGGTAACAAGGAACAATGGTCACAAACTGACAGAGAGCAGATTTAGGTTAGACATCTGGAACTACTTCTTCATGGGAAGGGTGGCCAAAATCTGGAATGGGCTTCCAAGGGAGGTGGTGCTCTCCCCTACCTTGGGGGTCTTTAACAGATGGCTGGAGGTCCCTTCCAACCCTAGCATCTATGAAACTTCAAGAAGATGGTTGGGAAAGCATTAGACCATACTAACATCCAACTAGTTGTGCTGTTTTTTAAAGGAGAATATCATTGATTAATATTTTCCACTTTATAACTGTGCCTTAAGCTGCTGCTTCTCCAAATTTTCAGGATGGTGTTCCCTATTCAGAGACAGACATTTGCTGATCCCCCACCACTGTTTACTGTAAAAATATATATATATATCACCAATTACAAGGCAAAGCCTTTATTATTAATTTGTGTGTATTTTATTGTGTGGGATAAGTAATATTTCCTTTCCTTAAGCCTGTAATAAAATGCACTTCACAATCCCTTTCTCAAGAGTGACAACACAGAGGTTGAAAATGGTGCCTAAAGCCATACTACCTTGATTCCACTATAGGCTTTGTATCAACCACCTTTCATACCAGCTTTGTTCAAGTTAAATACCAGACACATTTTCATATTTCTAGAGCGCCTTTTGTTTTTAACCTAGCAGAAGCAATCGCCGTCATCACTGGAAGTGACCCCACGGGAAACGTTGTTAGAACTCACCCTGAGAGTTTCATTGTTTTTAGTCCCATCAGACAGAATTAAAAACCGAGGTACCACGTAATGCTCCTTTAGCACATCTACTCTGTCCTCAGTCTCACAGATCTAACAGTGAATTTCACTTCCTGTATTGCCATTCTGGAACTAAACCTAATTAGAAGTTGCTATGGGAAAGGCAACCAATCACAGTTCATTTTAGCATGGGACTTCTAATTCTCATCACAGTCAATTATCTCACAGTTAGCCTATAATGATGGGAAGCTGTTTCTTAATTGTAACTTCCTGATGTGGTACAGAAAGATGTGAATATAAGTTTCTGTATAGGTTGATGACTAGTAATGAGTATCCTGAAGATTAAACAAGGACAAACCGGTTAGTGTAATAATTCCTACAGCACAGTGCCCTCGTTTAGATTACCTTGCTACCGTCATATAATCATTGAAGTCAAAGATCATTTTCAGTTAGCATAATTGTATTAATTATAAACTTTCTATCCAAACTCACAGAGGTTGGGTTACATTAATGGCCCCACCCATGAGAATTTTTCTATTGTTGCCTAAGTAGTAAGCCAGTGAAAGCAAGACCTCAAACTATGGTCTTCCTGTTAACTGTTGGATACTGTTTGGTGGACAGCAAGTGTTTTGGGTTTTGTTCAAAGCTACTTTCTAGTAATCTAAGATATTTCACAAATTTTTGCAGCCCTTTTCAGGATTGAACCCTGTCCTGTCTGATTTTACACCCCTCCATCCCCCCCTCAACCCCCCCCCCGCTTTCTGTTTTTATATTTGAAGGCAAATATTAGGAATTCTAACCCCCCAAAAATGTAATATATCATTCTGCCTTAAATTCACTGTGTTATGCAGAAGCTCAAAGAATCAACTGTGCAAGTTTTAAGTTAGTGTAACAATAAAACTGACAAATAGCCTGCACAGAAGTCCCACTTATGCAGGGTAGTTAATGTATGGCTAACCTTAAGCACCAGGGCTCTTGACAAAGCTTATAGGGCTATTCACAGATTTAGAGCGAGTTCAGCATCTGTGTAAGTACCATGTCATAGTGGGGTCTAGCACAGTGTGAACCAAATCCATTTGTTTTGGTCATTGAAAATAAATGGCAGCTCTCTGTGACTAAGGCAAATAGAGGCATGGGAGGTTGCTCCTATAAGTCAAATGGTATACGCCAGCATGCTTTATGTGTTACTATTTTCATTTCTCCATATGCATGTAGATGACATATTAGTACTTTTTATGTATTTATAAAAGTGATTATTTCCTTCTCAAACAGCCTTAATATCAATGTGTGAAAACTATTCAACATACTCCTCTTGGGAGAACAAAGAGCTTCAGCTGGCAAATTCCCCTTGTACTTATAGAAATTGAATATTAGTGCATCGGGGTAAATCCTGTTTAGTATGTAGAGGCCAGTAGACACTGCCAAGTATTTGCTTGACTATTTAGATTAATTCTCTTAAGCTTTGCACATACAGTTTTTTGCATCTGCTTTGTTCCTGTACAGTCAGGTTTTACCGACATGACTCTTCATGGAAAAAAAATCTCAGGCTGCACGTGTAAAAAAAATTTTAAATGTGTTAATGTGAATATGCACTGGAAATGTGGACCTTGTGAAGTCCACCCTAGGTCCTTAGTGTGGGTCAGTAATGGAAATTTCACCATTAAATCCTAGACTTGTGTCACTTGAGTGACAGCTACCACTACTTGCTGGCAGTAGGAACAAGCTGGTATCCTTCAAAAATAGGTCAGACATGCACGGCAACATTTCTTTTTTCAATGGCTGGTGAACCTAGATGCCTTGTTTTCTGGGAATCCTGTTGATTCACCCTTTTAAATGTTTTGATTCTAGAGGCTGAGAATTGTTTTTTTCCTTTTCCCTTAAAGGTATCTCTAACCAACCACTCAAAATTCACCTGGCTTTTTGGAAAATATCAGTATCCTCCTGTCAGGGAACAGAAAATACTTTGCCCAAGAAGCATGAGACTATTTAACTGTTTTTGCTGACCAATCGCATCTCACCTAATATAATTCTAATGGCATAATCGTGCCATACAGTTGAAAGGCGGGGATTGAGTAGGGGGAAGACATTTTTCAAACACTTCTACACAACAAAATACATGAAAGGAAATTGCAACATATTTGAGGAATATCCATAAAATGGAAAAAAAAATGACTGAAGGTGTCAAATTATTCATTGCAAAATATTTGCTTAACAGAAAGTTAAGATATAAATGATATAGACTTAATCATTCTTATAATTCACTCTAATTGATCTTTATATACCCTAATACAGATGCTTTTGTTTGGCCATATTTAATGAAGACCTTAGACAAATCAGCCTTGGAAATAACATTGATGTGCCACTCTCTTTCTTTCTTCCTTCTGTTTTTGCAATTTAGTCTCTGAACCGTGCCGTGTACAAGTAATGATCTATTTGAGTTGCTTTTACATCCAACGTGTAATGACAGTCAATTACCTGAACTATTATTTGCTACTGTGGAATAAATCAGTAATGCCAAGTGAATTAAAATCATGCTTTCATTTTGTATTTCAAGCACCCAGTCAGCCACCAGGAAATGTTGTGTGGAACGTTACAGACTCGAAGATAGTTCTGAACTGGGACCAAGTGCGAGCAATGGAAAATGAATCTGAAGTAACTGGATATAAGGTAAGGGGAAAAAAAAGAGTAGGACTAGAATACTTTATAGCACCAAATCTTTTTACAGTAAGCATTTTCTTCAGATTTATTTCCAAGGCAACAAGTTTAGAGCAGTTTTCCATAAATCTTGACCATTGGATGTACAATACCATGCCCAAACCAATCTACAGCAGCTCCTTTTCTGTTTCTTATCAGTATTATAACATTTGGAATAAAACAAAGTAGTCCAGATTCTCAGCTGGAAGAATTTGGTACAACTCCATCTGTCAGACTGATATTATCTTAGCTAGCTTATTTATTGTGGGGAAACTTTCAGCACCTTGCTAAAATAGCTGTGACATCAGTTCAGTCACCAGTCAATTGTACAAACATGCACAGATTTCTCCAAATCTACATCTCACACAACACACAGAGACTTATAGAGATAAGCTGCATTTATCTATATCCCACGTAATTATTCCTGTAATTATGGGCGCCTGGGTGCCTATATTTTCTGGACTTAGGCGCAGATGCTCATCTATAATGCGTATGCGTATGTAGCCGCGTGCATACCTGCCTGTGTGTGCTCGGTCTACACGTGCATACTTAGGCACAGACACGGATTGTGTTTCCCCACACTAAGTGGTTTTGAGGCATGTACGTGGCTAAAAAACTGCCATTTAGATGCACCGGGGGACATTGAATTCCACCCCAGCATTAGAAAACATAACACCTGTGCAGTTAAGCTCCCTGACATAATGTTCCTTCCATGCTTGCCTAACTTCTTCCAATACAGCCCATAATTTGTATGTTTTGATTAGTTGCCTTCTCTGCATCTTCTTACTATTTATTGCTTTAAGTGGTTGATCTAGATAATGACACATCCAAATGTTAGGATAATTTATGGAAGATTACACTACGAACAAACTCTGTGGAATATTTTATCCTTTTGTTATTGTATATTGTGCCATTTTAGATTAAATCTAGAATGAAAGAGCTTGATTCATGTTATCTGCTCTCATTGTGTCTCTAAATATTGAGTCTAATTCTGCTTATATGAAGCCTGTCAAAAAGGTAGGAAAGGAGGATTTAAAAAAAAAAGTAATCCAGGGAAAAAAAATCTAATTAAGTGTAGAAAAGAAGAGAGTGGAAGAGCTGCATCGTGGCATTGTAAAGAACACTGTTGGTTATGTATTTCAGGTTTTATACAGGACTAGCAATCAAAACAATATGAATGTGCTGAACACAAATAAAACATCGGCTGAACTTTTGCTGCCATTCAATGAGGATTACATTATAGAAGTAAAAGCAACAACTGATGGTGGAGATGGAACTAGCAGTGATCAGATCAGGATTCCCAGACTAACTAGTATGTTGTCTCTGATATGAGTTGTTCTTTCTTACAGTAAGATATAGGGGCCCCAACCAATATAAAAACCCTTTATGCTAGGTGTTGGTAGGACACAGTGCATGCCCTAATGCCACCTTAATCCAAACAGGCAGTGGATGAGGGGAAAACAGACATACAAAGAGGGGAAGCACCTCATCCAAGATCATCAGTGGCAGAGTTGTGCCTAATTCGATACTTTATGAATACTGTGGTTCTACCACTGAGATACTGTCTTATACTTAATGGCCAAACCTAGCGGTGAAGGAGATGCACAAGAAGCACAAATTCACGAGTATGATTTTTGGTGTATTTGGGTTCAATGGGAGTGCGAGGGAGGATGTTATCTCATACCTTCTGTATGCTGATCACAGCATTGGAGACAGCAGCTGGTTTGTAGGCATGGCCAGATGAGGCAAGCTCAAACTCCGTGGCCATCTAGAAGGAAGGGCAGTGATAATAGTGGAAAAGGCTGATTTGCTTAGGCTTGTTTGCTGGGAATGTTCAGGATTTAGAGCATCTAAACATGGAAAGTCAGAGCCTGAGTCCTGATGAAAATATGGTCCAATGCACACTTCATGAAAAATCAATTTAAGGTTTTGGTTTGTGAATGTTTTATAAATGATCTATGCCCCAGTGTCAAAAATGCAAGGCAGTCGTTGAAGCCTAAGGTTCATAAATTCTATTGGAGCTTACTTTAATCAAGTTCTACAGTACAAAAATTGGCTAATCTGGCATTAATAAAGACATTGTTAATCATTTCTATTTCAGCCTACTTTAGTAACAAGAATATCAGCACTGGCTATATATAAAAAGGCGCAAAGTCTCATAATGACTAGTTTGGCTATAATATATATATATATATATATATATATTGCAATGCAATCACACACACACACACACTCCCAGAATTCAGTTGCACTATTTTGTTTTACTTTACTGAGTCATTATGGGACTTTGCACCTGACAGCCACAGCTAGCAGTTAAGAAAACCTGCCTTTGTACAAATTGAGTCCTTATTGATTTAAAAAAAAAAAAAATCCATGCTTGTACTCTGTATGGTAATAAGATAATAAAAAAAGGCAATTAACATTTATCATGCCCTTATGTATGACAAACTTCATTCTGTTGGACTGGTAAATTGCCATATAATTTAGACAGTAGTATATATTTTTAAAAATCTGATTTTCGCTTTTTATATGGCTCTCACTCTTTGCAATTATAACCTGAAATATAAAGAACGTTCAGTGAATTCTCCCCAAATGTTAATATATTTAAATATATTGTAAATATTTATCACATTTTGGTATAATTTTCATTAGCAGCAGAAATGAAGTGCTGTATTAAAATCTCTTCTGGAAAATAATATACACAGCTCATAGGTAGCACTTTGAGACAGCCTATATTTTTGCCTTCATTTAATCCTGAACTTTTTCATTTATCACAGGTATGGACGCAAGGGGTTCTGGTGCATCAGTCTTGAATGTCTACACTTTATCCAGTTTCATACCAATAGTACCTTTCTTGTCTTTTAATGCAGTGTTGTGGTAAAACATTTTCATTCACTGGAACAATGGATCAGTTAATAACAAATAAGTGCTTTTAAAAAAAAAAAAAAAGAAATGCAGTGGTTATGCATGGTTTTCTCAAACTCTGATGTGTTTTTAAATACTTTATATTCCATTGTAAGTTTAAAGTAAAAAATACCATATAAAATCAGCAAATCCTTTTAAAGGAAACTAAAATGCCTTAATACTTGAACCAAAGGAGTTTTCATAGTCCATACTTCAAATATAAAAGAGAATAAGAGTGAATAAAATGGCACTAAGGTTTGAGAGTTTCACAGAGCTTCATATAGACCTGAGGTCTTTGAATTCCATTTTTGCAGCAACACTGTACTGGTTTGAGCATGTCTTGTGTCATTGTGATAGAATCACTCTCATCCAGAAAAAAAGATGAAATTGGAGGCATAAATAATTGCAAATCTGGTGGCAAAACTTAGATCAATTTGAACATTAAGAAAGCAGTGTCTTTACCAGTAGATTTGGATAAGCTTACATACTGTCGTTTAATAATAGCTATGCTAAATCTACCAAAAACACCTGGTAGAGGTGGAGGAGATGGAAAAGACCTACTATATCATCCAGTCAAATGCTTTGTCCAAGAGACACCACTTCCACCACTTCTCTTGGAGATTACTCCAGAGATGCATGTCAAAGGTTATTTGTTTTTTCCCT